ATAATATATATTTTATTATATATGATATCAAATAAAGAAATGATATTTACCTATAAGAAAAATTTAAATAAATATATATATATATATATTTATTTGTTATTCAAAAATTATTGTATAAAAATTAATAAATAATATATCAAAATAAAACTTAAAATCTAGAAATTATAATAATATAAAAATGTTTTTTTAAAATTTTTTAAAATCAAATTTTATAAACTTGAATTCAATAAATTTAATAAATTTAATTTAATATATAAATCTTTTTCTTTTTTAAAAAAATTTTTTTTAATAATTTTTAATTTGTAAATTTTTGAATTTTAAAGCTATATCAAAAATAAATATAAAATTTCATAATTTTATAAATTTAAATACAATAAACTTAAAAATTAATTAATGATAAAATAATATTATATCTTTTTAATAAAAAAAATATTTTTATATTTTAATTTACAATTAATCACAATATTAATTTTTAAAAAAAAATTCCAAAAGTTTTGCTACATACTATATATCTTATATTCTTATCTATAAATAAAAATTTTGAGATATGTCTTAATTTAATATTTAAAAAAATATAAAATAAAATTAATATAAGATGGTTTTATAATTTTTTGTAAATAAAAAATCTAGATAAGCTAAAAATAAAATTTAATTAAGTTTAACAAATTGAATTTTAAATACATCATTTTTTTAAAGAAATTTTTTAATTTTTATAAAGCCCATTTTTTTAAATATACTAATTCTCTTTTATAAAATAATAACAAGTTACAGAGATATTTATATATTTTTTGATTACCAATTATGTGAAATACGTATTTTTTTCTTACAATTCATATGATTTATTTATAACAAATAATATATTTTTCTTTGATAATTTAATATATCATATTTTTATTTAAAATATTGAATTCTACATTATAAATACTGTATATAAAATTATTTTTATACATTTTAGTCAATGATTATAAAATTAATCTCCCAATCTCACCGAAAGATTCCGAACGAGGTGTCATTGTCAAATTAAAAATTATGCTGTTCCATTTTCAATCAAAATAGGCTTCCCCACCTCCACCTAAATAAATATTAAAAGAAAACAAAAGATGAAAGATTAAGATGTAAAGAAAAGGTTAAAAAAGAAATGCACGTCGCATATACTAACCACCGTCATCATCCAAGTCATCACCTTCACCATTATCGAAGTAATTTTCAACGTAGTCGGTTGCATCAGCGTATTCGTCCTCTTCTTGAAGAAATTGATCCATGTCCACATATTTGTCAAACTCATTTTCATCCCCCGCCTGATGACATAAACAACGTATCGTCAGAAATAAGATAATGAAAGTGATGCTGTATTCCATTGCTTACTTCAGGTTTATTTGTTTTTTCTTTGTCCTCTTGAGATATGAGGTTACCGAATGCTTCGTCCAAATCAATTTGAACCTTCCGTGAATTGCCTAAAAATCGATCAATGTTAATTCGGAAATGAAAAGAATTTAAGTTTCACACCAGACATACCGGGTGTTGGAAACGTGGCGATTATTGACTCATCTTTGACACAATGAAGCTCGTATGGAAAGAATGCCAAGTCTATTTTGTGATAAACATTTAATTAGAGGATGTCCTTAAATGACTATGTACGTAAACTTAAGAAACAACCTGTTTCAACGTCGCGTAACAGATGCTGTACCTTCTTTTTTTTAAATTGATCGGAATAACGTTGTATTTCTAAAAAAAAAATTTATAAAATTATGTTCAGAAGGAAAATAAACTGGCATAATTTGGTAACGTTTACCAACCAATCGGAGGTACTGGTGTTGATATATAAAATGGTGAATCCTTGAGAGAAGCTTTATATGCGCATAGCGCATTATTCATATGTTGTTCATCTTCAGTGGGCTCTTCAGGGTCTTGCAATTCTATACCCTAACATTTTAACTTTATTTATGACCTTCGGTAAGTATAATTATTTTTTTTTCGAAAAGTATTGCTACCTTGGAATGGTCGTTAGAAAGAGTTTGTTGTAGAATCGCTTGTATTTCGCTCGTGAAATTTTTTACGCCGAAACCGGCAGCGCTATTTCTGAAACCGCGTCTTTTTCCTCCGCGACTTTTACTCATTTTAGTGACACGTACGATAACATAGATGTGCTGCCAACTAAATTAGAAATAGTTGCCAGGGTTACGTATCTATGTATCACAGTTCCCACAATTTTAAGTGACAAGATTTATTTTTAGATTATGACATAAATTTATCATAAAGCCAAGGATATAATAATATACCAAGAAAGCCAAGAAAGTAAATAATTGTTGCACATAAGTATTTTAAGTAGTTGCATACGTACGAAACTTTTTGATTTTTTACAAAGAAAATGGAACATTACCCTAGCAGGCCAGTAGATCGTGATAAAGCTGAGCATGATCTTGCACTCAACATAAAGAAGGCCACGAGTCCTGACGAAACAGCTCCTAAACAAAAGCATGTTCGAAGTTAGTACAAGTATTTACTTTGTCAGTAAGCAAATTCCTGAACGCCGAGCAAGAATTTTACCCTGAAATCGACATTTATTTTTAATTATAGAATGCATCGTATACACTTGGGACTATCATACTTCGGACTCAATATGGGTAGGCCTTAAGATTCAACCGATCTTATCCGACGAAGTGCAAACTTTCAAGGCCTTGATTACCGTGCACAAAATTCTCCGAGGTGGCCATCCTTCCGTATGTTTCAACATTAAGGCAAAATTTATATGCACCTAATCTCGTCGATTTTTAACTCACACTTCTGGTATATATGTTTTATGTTTTCAAACCGCCATTCGTTATTCAGACCTTAAAGGAGGCGCAGAATCAAATTAATTGGTTGGAAACGTGTACTAGATCTGTCAACGGCGATGGAATACGAGGTGAACAATATCAGGATTATTCAATGTGCAAGTGTATTTGTTCAATTGACTTCCTCTAAAAGATTAGTTTTCGACAGGATATGGCAAACTTATTCGTGAATATGTAGAATTCCTAAAAGCAAAGTTAAGGTATCATCGCCTGCATCCTGAATTCAATGGAAATTTTGATTACGAGGATTACATTAGTTTAAAAAATGTGGACGATCCGAACGAGGGGTATGTTTTATAATAATAACAGAACTAACATGTAGCTCAAGCTTTAATTATCACTCTTTTTTTTTTAGTTATGAGACAATTACCGATCTAATGAGTTTGCAAGACCACATTGATCAATTTCAGAAACTGATTTTTGCACAGTTCCGGCCTTCTTCCAATAATGAATGTCGTATTGCAGCGCTCGTGCCATTAGTAGAGGAAAGTCATGCAATCTACAAGTTTTTGATGAGTATGATTCGAGCAATGTATCGACGCACGGAGAATGCCGATGTTTTAACTCCTCTTGTAGTACGATTTAACGGTCAGCATTATGCATTGGCGCAATTTTATTTTGATTGCTCAAATTTGAGATACTTGACAAGTTTAATTAGTGTGCCCAAGTTGCCACAGGTTTGTAAAATCTCGAAACTTTTAATTTATTACTCGATGGAATATGACTTAACCTTTCAATTTATTTAAAGGATCCTCCCAGTTTGATTGATAGTGCCCCATCTTTACCGAAGCGCCCACAGTCAAAATCACCCGCTCCACCAGAACCAGAATCAATAACAGAATTTTGGAAAGAAAATGAGGCACAAAAACAACAAGAACTGGAGCGACAACGACAGTTATATGAAGAACAACAAAGGCAACTTTTACAACAACGTGAACATGAACTTCAAGCACAGCGCGCGATGGAAGCTCAAAGACAAAGAGAATTGGAAGAACAACAACGCTTACAACAAGAAAGAGAAAGATTAGCCAGAGAACAACTTATGAGAGAACAAATGCAAAGACAAGCTGAGGGAAGAGTAGCTGAATTAGAGAGAGAGTTGTTAAGTATGAGGAGTCATGTTGAGCGTGATCAGATGATGTTGGATCAATATGACAGAGTATTTATTTATATATATGCAGTATTTGTATTTTCTCATCTAGAGTGAAAAAAATTTCTTAATATCCTGTTTATCTTCGCCCATTTAGAAAGTTAAATCTTTGGAGAACGAAATGAGTCAACTAAATCTAAACGCACAGCAACAAATAAATTCCAAGGATGAGATGATAAAAAATCTACAGGGTTAGAATTAATCTCCTTTCGGGTATATCTCATGGGCATATTTCAGATTATGAATTTTTAACCTACAAATTTCATTTAAAGATCAAATCTTGATGTGGAGGAACAAATATGAAGCACTTGCTAAATTATATTCACAATTGCGTCAGGAGCATCTTGACCTTATCAATAAGTTTAAAGCGGCGCAACTAAAAGCAAATTCGGCACAGGAAGCTATCGACAAAATGGAGAAGATGGAGCGCGATATGAGAGCTAAAAATCTTGAGTTGGCTGACATGATACGAGAGAGAGATCGATCAAGACACGAGTTGGACCGATTAAAAAGTGTAAATATGAATTAATAATGAAAAACAATCATATTTGTTCGATCCCAACGATATTTGCGTGTGACACAAATTTATTTCAATAGAGTCAACGTGAGGATTTAGAAAGGGTAAAGCGTGACCTTTCTGAAGCAAACAGTCGTGCAGAAGATCTTGCAAGGTCAAAGAGTAACGAATTAAGTTCGTTAAGAACGAGATTTGATAGGGAAAAGCAAGAACTGGAGGATATTATAAGAGTGAGCATTTTTCTATCATTTGACTTTCTTTAATCTATTATTAATGCTTATAAATTATTTGTGTTGATTCTTTATTTTAGTCGAAACAATCGTTTGTTGATGATTTACTAAGACAAATAGAGGAAAAGAAGGGTGAAATTGAGCGCGTGGCGCAGGTATTATCGAAAATCATGTGACCAGATTAATTTGAAGACTAATTAAGTCTTAAATGTTTATTAGGAAAAAGACGATAAAATTGCAATCATGCAATCTGCAATTGATCAGAGTGTGGATCTTATGGCGGAAATGAAGAAGGTATATAGAATTTCAATGTCCTCATCGTTTTTATTTCATTTTGCTTTTCTTTGATTTTTTTATTCAGCTAAATTCATTAAATTTAGTCCACAACGGAATCAGATAGATATCAGTCCAAATTAGACAATTTAATGTTGGACCATCTTAAAAATCTAAACGACATTCTAGGTAAATAATCCCAGAACTGTTTTTGTTTTTTTTTCATTGATAGATGTAATGTCTAACATTGTTCTTTTTCCTACCATAGACAGTATATTTCAATCATGTATTCAAAAGATTGACGATAGCTTGTATGAATTGGAATCGCCTATGCAAACCGGCAATCAAAACTCTACTCCAGAGTATACATTATCTATGATCGAGAAGGCAACAACAGAAACTTCGGAATTTTCTTTTTCACTTCAGAAATTTTTGAGAAGCGATCGTACTCAGGAGCATACTGAAGTTATAAAGGCCGCCACAAATTTCACTCAAGCGATTTCAGATGTGTTAGTGAATGCTAAAGGGATTACTCGTCTTGCTGGTGAAGATGACGAGATAGTGGACGAACTTGTTGGTACTGCTAAGATGGTTGCCAACATGTCTCAAAAGTTCTTGTTGAATGTGCAGTCATTCAAACTCGATAATTTATCAGCATCGCAAAGATCCGAACTAGTTTCGAAAAGTGACATTGATGTTCAAACGGCTTTGCAAAAAGTTTCTAAGGTTACCGAAGGTATGTTGAGGCACACATTGGATGTCACGAAAAAAGAAGATGGTGAACTAGGCAATCTTGTTGAGCGAGAAATGATGAATGCGGCCAAGGTTATTGAGAATGCCACCGCGAGAATTCAAGCGCTGATGCTGAAACCTCGTGAACCTAACCTTTCGGCCACGGAATTAAATGTTCATCATGCAATTCTGGAATCCGCCTTGGCTGTAACAAATGCGATCGCGAATTTGATAAAATGTGCAACCGCTTCACAGCAAGAAATTGTTGCTCAAGGTCGTGGTTCCAGTAGCCACGCCGCTTTCTACAAGAAGAATAATAGATGGACAGAAGGTCTTATATCTGCCGCAAAAGCCATCGCAATAGCTACCAATCTTCTTATAGAAACTGCAGATGGTGTCATAAATGGTGATCGTTCTCTTGAACAGCTCATTGTAGCTTCGAATGAAGTCGCTGCTGCGACTGCACAGCTCGTAGCCGCTTCGAGAGTCAAAGCGGACTTTATGTCAAAAGCACAAGATCGCCTTGAAACAGCTTCTAAAGCCGTTACGGAAGCTTGCAAAGCTCTAGTTAAAGCTGTGAAAGCGATTGCTGCCAAACAGCTCGCGGATAAGGAGGCTGATATAAATTACTTTGAATTGGCACCTCATGATTTTAAAGTTAAAGAAATGGAACAACAGGTGTTAATATTGAAACTTGAAAATGAGTTGACCAACGCCAGAAGAAAGTTAGCAGAAATGAGAAAGGTTGGATATCACGCTGAAGAAGACTGATGAAGTCTATTGGGAATGAATTAACCAACGCCAAAAATATCTCATTTGGAATGACCTATTAGAATCAAGGTTTATTTGCTTACACTAATGCACAAAATTGTTCGTATATCTAAATTATTGATTTTTTACTATAATAAAATTATAAAATTCTTATAATATATAAATTATACTTATAAAAGATAATATTAATATAAAATTTAAAAATTATATATTTTTAAAAAATATCTATATATATAACTAAAATTTATATGATCAAAATTATTCCTATCAGTATAATTTATTTTTATCTAGTATACATTATGAAATTTTTTAATATTTTGTAATGATAGCAGAGGTAAAAATAAAATTAATTTTTATATTTTTTTCAAAGTAATATTATTTCATGCTTTTAAAATAAATTTTTTTAGTTCTTTTTTGTTTTTTTAACAATTTTATGATCAATATTATCTAAAATATGTTTAATTTGGATTGATATTTGATAAACAAGAAGGTCATGAAAAAGTTTCAATATTTTGAAATAAAAAAAATTCATATATTATCTTAATTATTTGGTTAAAGTTATTATTATATTAAAAAATAAAATTATTTTTATGTTTATATTTAAGTTAATAATTTTAAATATTGATTAAAATATTTTTTTTATTTTTTTATTTTTTTTATAATAGAACAGTATTAGATATGGGTTTTTATTATATATTCTTAGAATATTTACAATTTTGATACATTAAACATTTTCTATAATAATTATAGTTAAATATTAACCTATCTACTGCTATATTTAACAATATGTTCCAAACCCTTAAAATGAATTACACATATTTAAAAGATTTATCTAGGAGATGGAAATTCTATTACTAATTTAAATCATATAACCTACTAATTCAATTATATATATATATATTATAGTCAATTAATTATCAACTATTGTATATAAATTACTTATCATATCTAATTTTTTTACTTATGCAACTATAGTTTCAGAAAATCTTTGACACATATATATACTTCTTAATGGATACTCTTGACTGATAATCAGATTGGCTTTAACTATTAATTTAAGGATACAAATATCAAGTAATATATAACTTCTACATATTATAAGAATATTCAGATACTATAAGGATAACTATATATTAGTATTGGTTCAATGTTTTCTTTAAAGCTTCTTATTTGATTATTAGCAAAGAGAAAGAGATTAATAACTTGGGATTGATTAAAATAAAGTATGGCTCAATCTGTATTTTTAAATATACAAAAGAGTGAAAGAAGTATTAGACAGTTTTTTTTTTAATTAATTTATAGAATGAGTCATATACTTATTTATTTATTTATTTATTTATAAAATGATTTAGATATTTATATATATATATAAAGATTCTAATATTCTATATAACTACTCTCTGTGACAATAACAGCCTGAACTCAATGTGACATCGATTTAATTAAATTTCTATAATAGCTTGTGGGTATCATATTCCATTCTTTTTTAATCTATTTTTCTAATTGTGCAATACTTGAAAGCTGTATCTTATATCGATAGATCCTAACCTTAATATATGACCAAATATTTTCTATAGGATTTAAGTCAAGGCTTTGAGCCAGCCAAGGGAGAAGCTCAATTTTTGAGAAGACGAGAAAGGATCATACAACCTTTATGATGTGAATAGAAGCATTATTTTTCTAAAAAATGAAAATTTTTTATACTTTTTTTGTATGTAATTTAATTGTAAGAATGGTATACTCTTCAAAAACATCATAATACACCTCACCTGTAATATAATTAACCAAAGGAATTAGTGAATCCAACCCAATCCAAGAAAAACACCTCCAAAACATATGACTCAAACTTTTTTTAACTATAGCCACAATGCAATCTTCATGAAATTCTTTGCCAGGTTCACATTAAACATACCCAAAACCTAAAGTTTAAAATTATGCATAGGTAGATTCATTTAACCATATAATTTTTTTAAAGTTCTCTATGTTCCAATGCTTGTGGGCAAGTGCTTAAGAAAAACGTTTGACTTTATTATTTTCAGAAATTAGTGGTCTGTAATAGGAAGCTTGCAAGTGAACTTCTTGTTTTGCTAATTCTTTGCTAATGGTTCATGTAGAAATACTTATATATTTTTTTAGGTAGATTAGACGAATTAAGAAAAGAGTTTTATGATAGGAACATTTATTTCAAGTTACTAAAGCCTTAAGACGATTGCATACAGATTTGTTCAGAATTGGTAGACAACACATTCTTTTTTTAGGTGATTTTTTGAGCTCATGTGCTTCTAGCACACGTATTACAAAAGAATGGGAACAACCTATGGCTTCAGAAATCTCAATATATGTATGATCAAGTTCTTTTGCTATAATAATTCCACCTTTCTGATTTTCTGTTAATTCTTTTTTGTAACATATTATGTGGTAAAATTTTAAAGATTATTTTTTAAGGAAAAATCATATATAACTTTGTAACTCTTAGAAGCATTGTATAAAGATGAGATTTGTTTTGATTTGTAAATCATCACTATATGTAAATAGTTTATTAGAAAATAATTATTAAATATATATAAAAATCTAATGATATAAATCAATTTAAAAATATATAAAATATTCAATACTTCTTTCACCTCTCTGTATAAATAGGTTTTAACTATATATATAATATAAATTATTTACTATTGACTCAATTTCCAAAATTCTTAAAAATAATTATGTCATGACTCAATTATTTATATGTTTTAATAGTAACTTAATTAATTGCATCAATTAATTGCATCAATTAATTGCATCAATTGTATTAAGGATCTATAAATTTCAGCAATATATAGTATATAGTTTCAACTATTTTGACAATTATAATAATATTTACTGGACAATTATCTATTACTTTATCTTATTAGAAAGGTCACAATTTCAATACTTATTAGATTAGTATTTAAAATAACTTTATATAAAAAACAATGCTTAACAAATTATGGCACTAGATATTATACAGTATGGGACAAAAGTAATTGGAATTGTATTTTTTATTATAATTTAATAAATAATTATTGAATTTAAATAAAATTTTCAAAATACATTTTTATTAATATAATTATTAAGATATTTAAGTTTTATTAATAGTTAATTAATAATTTATTTTAAAATTTTAATTTAAAGTTTATTACAAATTTTTATATATAGTGTCATATATCGTTTCTACCTCAGGAGAAAGATAAAGACGGAGAACTAGTAGCAGGGAGGCACTTTTAGATGGACAGGACCAATGTGGTATGCTAAAGTTCCTAAAGGCGTACAAATTAGTACAGTTCTGAGGTGTATGAG